CCTTATCTCCAGCTTTACCCCATCTGGCTCAAGAACATATTACTAACCTGTACAATTTACCTGAATCCTTGGAACTGATCTGAACTTTGAATCCCTCACCTGTAGTCTGATTCCTCCTCCTACGCTCTCAACAACGACCCCTCCCCAAAACAAACTCATTCAAGTGAGTAAAAGTTTCTCAACACATTTTTGGTCACCAGAAGAGAAACATCTGGAACTGTTGGATTAACTCCCCTCTGCTGTTCTCCTCTCCTGTACCGGCATCTGTTCACAACAAATTGTGGTTGTGAATAATGAAGACTCTGAATCTTATAAAGCAGTCTCCATTGTGTCTGTATTTGAATGGGAGTGATATTAGATGCCTTCAGTTAGATAACCAGATCCTGCTTCAGCTGGACTTTGTGTGGCAGCATATAGTCATGTGATTAAAAAAGTGGTTAAAGAAGTGCTTTAAGAACAATACAAAAATATAATTCTGATTATTTCAGTTCTCTTTTGTTTAAAAGATGTTAAAATATGATTGTATAATTCTATATTTATAAAAAATAAAAACAATATTAAGGAGTTCACAGATGCTTCAAAAACACTATGTGTTCATATTTTAAATTACCACCAGAGGGAGGCTCATACCTGTACTGTCCTTGCTCTGGTGTCACCCTGTAAACACACTTGAACCTTATATATATTACTATTCGTCTACACTTTTTATGCTGAATTATTCTCTCATAGAGACCTGCGTGTAATACTAACTGCTAATTAAACTGCTAAACCAGACCATAGGACATTCACTGTTGGTTTGCTGTATGAAGATTTTAAAACATAATGTTTAGCAGCACTTTTTATTATGGCATATGACTAGCATTTGACTAATTTCATAAAATGACATTTAATTGCAATTTTATGCCCTGATTTCACAGAAATTTCACTTTAATTGCATTTGCAATTTAATTTTGGAAGAATTACAGCCTTAGCTGTACAGTAGATCAAATTATAAAGTGCTGCTGGTTAATTAATTTGAAAGCAAAACATATCCACCGTGATATATTTTATATTTTCTTAGTACTTTTCAAGTCATAGAATAAAACACTTCTTGTGAACAAGCAGTTTAATCAGTTTTATTTTCATAGTGCCAAGTCATAGAAACGGTCACCCCCAAAGTGCTTTATATTGTAAGGTAAACACTCTACATCAATACAGACAAAACTCTAGCAATCAGACGATGCACTACATGCATGCATTTGTCGAAAAGAAGAAACCTCAAGTAGAATCATGCAGCATAACTAAGGGAGGATTCAGGGTCATCTAATCCAGCCCAAACTATGCTTTGGCAACAAGGAAAATTTTAAGCCTAATTTTAAAGGCAGAGATGGTGTCTGTCTCCCAAATCTAAACTGGGAGCCGTTCTACAGATGAGGGGCCTGAAAACTGAAGGCTTTGCCTCTAAATCTACTTTTATATACCCTAGAAACCACCACTTTATGGATACATAAACCTTGGAATCATATATGCATAGAAATGAAAATGTATACTGTACCTTCTAATAATAGTTCCTAATGGTCACATTATAACGTAAACAGAAAAGGCATGTTGCAGAAGTAATCAAATGGATGCTTGCTTGTGCAACACTTCTTTACACTTACTTGCTGGTGGCTGTAGCTCAGGAGGTAGAACAGGTCATCTACTGATCGAAAGGTTAGTGGTTCAGCCCAGTCTGCATCCAAAGTATCCTGGGCAAGATACTAACCCCAAGATGATCTCTAATGTATCCATTGGAGTGTGAATGTTAGCTTAAGAAAGCACTGAAAAAGCATAGAAGAAAGTGAATGTGGCATGTTGCATTAAAACTAAGTAGCTGCCGCCATTGTTGGAAACTGGAATTGGCTGGGCCGTGCTATGAATTCTGGGATAGGTTGAGCCGTGAGGAATACACCCGGCCCATTCTTCAAATCTGGGGAAAAGGATGACACATTTGTCAGCCGCATTTAGAGGAGTCTTCGAATTTGGACAGCCTTTGCCACGTCGCGGTCACATAATCGGTCTACAAATGCGCCCCCGAAGTGTAAAGTGTAAAGTGTGTGTGTTAGTCCCCATGTTAGTCCCCGTGTTAGTCCCCATAGGGAAATAGTTCCTCTGCATTTAACCCATTCACCCAGTGAAGCAGGGAAGGATGTGGCCCCTGAATTTGGACACAGCTATGATACACCAAAAGCTGCTTCTTCTTCTTCTTCTTTTTTGGCGTTTAATGGCAGCTGGCATCCTTGTAGATGCATTGCTGCCATCTTCTGTTTCAGTCCGTTATTACACTCTACTACTTATTCCTGTGTCTTTCAGGATCTTACAAAGCATCAAACGACGCGTTGACTATTAAATTTGTTGTCGGCGATTTTGATAGTCAACGTAATTGTGATCCACCTAATCGTGGCAGCCCTATTGAGGAATTGGTTTCCCTCTCCCGCAGAATTGATAATCGTCCGTGAGAGAGGGAAGCTGAACAATGGTCCAGGCTTCAAAGACCTGTGTTGCGTCCCGAGTTCTGCACTGCACCGCCTATGCTCCCATCTGAGAGAGTTAAAATTGCCACTCACTGTTAGGATACCTGGGTCGTTGAGTTTTGAGTTTATTATATTATTTATCATTTCTAGTCTTTGGTTTCTTTGTTAGAGTTCTGTCTTATGGTTTACGTCTCTGTTCCCTCTGTTGCAGTGCCTGCCTGTGAGTCTGTGTCTGTAAGTTCAGTCTGTGTTATGTTTCCTGTTTTACTTTGAAAGTCCATGTCTCATGTTAATGTGTCTGGATGTGCTTCCTTTGTCTCGTTAGGCCTGAGTTGATACCAGCGGCGTTTCCCTCCTGTTTCCCATTCCCTGATTGCTCCCTCTGTGGATTTAAGCCCTGTGTTTCTCTGTGTCCATGTCGTGATCTACCCTTATCCACCCTCATTCATGCTGTGTGTTCTGTCTGCCTGCGTGTGTAAGTTTATTTTGCATTTTTGGGTTTTTGTTACGTTTTGTCATCCAGCAATAAAAGCTGAGTTTTGGAGTGCACTTTTGCCTGTCGTGAGTCTGCACTTTGGGTCCTTTTCCTGCCTGTGTTACAGGCCCCACTATGATGGGCGCGTAGCCAGATTACGATCCTGTAAAACAGGAGAGAAAGTGAGCACAGGAGACACGCTGCCGTTCGCCTGATCAGTCTTGCCAGAATTTATTCATACAACACAAGCATATCTGCTCCACTCTTTCGTTAACTCAATTTCACAATAACTGCTCATTCCCTCACATGGCTTGTTTTCCACCAGTACATTTCAATATTAGTCCACACTACTGGCATAAAACAACAAAGGGTTTAAATGAATGAAACAAATGAAAACTACACCTCTTTTCCCATAAATGAGATAAACAAAATAATTCACATCATCATGGTAGTGTCTCATCATAGAAAGGAAACTCTACTTTCAACATTACTGCACTACTTTCCTTGCCAGCATTTTTGTTGGCCGTACTGTTATTAGCGCTCTCGCTTCATATGTCCTTTTCAGACCAGTTAGATTCTAACACTGAAACAGCAAGTTTACACATGACTTCAGGCGAGCTCAGAACACTTTACACACGCGTTATACAAAACATTTGTCATGAACACAAAGCTACAAGTTTATCAGGAACTGTAAACCTAACTGGGTTGGTGCTTCTTATTATTATATGGAGTATTATACGCAGTTGCAACAGCTTGCTAGCGTTACCCAGGCATATAGCCTAGCTATAACATCTTACAGAGCTAAAGTAGCTCACATAGCGACAGTATAATACATCACATATCACAGACCCGTCTTATGTCATGAAAGTTTAAGTATCACAGTGTCCAGCTGTGTATTTCTTTATGTTTTTGACCACGTTACTGACCTGTAAAACAGGAGAGAAAGTGAGCACAGGAGACACGCTGCCGTTCGCCTGGTCAGTCTTGCCAGAATGGAAAACTTACGGCAGCTATGCACCCGACTCAGTTCCCAAAGCACGCTGCTGCCCCCTACTGTCCAAAGTGTTATACACTCTCCTGGCAACAGGGAACTTACATGACATTGTGGCTTTAAATTACACCAATAAACCAGCAAAATAAAACATGCAAAATAATCTCCATATATCACGACACTTAACTCACAATTGTGACCACATTTCTGTGTGGATCACACCTGCACACAGCCTTCACGTAACACTCACGCCGTTAGAACCTCTTCCATTACTCATCAGACTGCACCAGTAAAAATTAATCACCTCCGTAAACCATAATGAATTAATTTCCTTCTTCACTCTTCCCTCTCCTGACACCCCACTTATTCTTGGTTATCTGTGGTTACAGAAACATAATCATCACATTGATTGGGCCGCTGCAGGTCTCTTCTTTGTGGGGAAAAAGTCGCTGCATGCAACCTTGTATTGATTACCATAAAGAACAAATACCCACTGCCTAATCAATTCTGTTTTTGAGTCTCTTCAAGTGCCTACCACTCTTACTAAGTTGTATCTATGGAACACCTATCACCTTGTTCAGATACATGAGGGGGATGTATCTGCCTTTCTTTTCAGCCATAAAACTGCCCACCCACGCATTCAGTACAGCTAACCTGCACCCGCCCTTTGTCTGCTAAATTCGCTCACTTGTCTCTCTTCCTGTTAGTTATATACATTAATACTGACTGCTAACCTTTTACAAAATAACATGTGGATATAGACTGTGGGTTTACACCATAAAGAATTTCAAACAACATTTTTAGCAGAGCACCTATTTTTAGAAATCCCCTTTTCTTGAATTTTAACCAAAAGGGTATATCTTTTTTTTTTTTTGGCACTTCCTTTTTTATGCACAAACAAGGAAACAGCCTACATAGAGATTATACGCATGTGTGAATCTGTGCATGAGGCGTTATTCTGAGATGTCAAATAGGATTTTGAGATGACTGAAATGTGTCAAACAGGAAGTTTTCTTTCAACAAATCAGTCATACCTTCTCTGCCCCCTCAAAAGCCACCTCTGCCACTGAAGAGTTTTAATGTATTGTCTTCTTAGGAAACAGAATGAATACAACTCACTGGACTCATTCAGTCTATGAGTATACAACTCTGCCTGCTATTTACACCACTGGCTTCATCATTGGTCTTGGAGCTAATGTATGGGGACTAAAGTCTCTACTGCAGAAATGGAAAATTCTTGGACACATTAACGTGTTTCTTCTGAACCTTGGAATTGCCAATTTTTTGTTCCTGCCATCACTCCCATTTTTGTCAGCGTACTACTTTATGGACAGTAAATGGATATTTGGAGATGCCTTCTGCAAGATCACAAGATTCTGCTTCAACTTGAATTTATACGGCAGCATTGGATTCCTCACCTGTATAAGTGTGTACAGGTACCTGGCTATTGTCCATCCAATGAAAGTGATGGGAAGAATAACTGTGACTAACTCTGTCGCTATTTCAGTCATGGTTTGGCTGTTGGTGAGTGTTCAAAGTTTTCCAGATATGTTCTTCCCCAAAAACTCACCAAATAGAACTGAAAAATGCTACCATACCACATCTACAGAGTATGTGGAGGATTACCTAAAATACAGTGTGGGCTGGACACTCACTGGGTTTGTTATGCCACTCCTTATCTTACTTGGCTCCTATGGACATGTGACTCTTGTTCTCTGCCGCATTAATACCATTGATAAGGTGGTGAAACAAAGAAGCTTAAAGTTGATGTTCATTTTGATTTTGCTCTTTTCAGTTTGTTACATCCCCTACCATATTTTTAAGAACCTCAGCCTTTATTCAAGAGTTTTGTCAAATCACAGGATGCGTCCAAAATGGGATAAGGGAGTCTTTAGTGCTCATCAGATCAGTCGTGGTCTTGTGTGTCTGAATAGTGTTTTGAACCCCCTGGTTTACCTCCATGTCATGGATATTCCTGCTCAAATCAGACAGATGCTTCATCATTTTCGTCAGATCTTTGTGTCAGAGTTCAGCAGTGTACCAGTGGCACAAAATGCAGATGTTTAACAGGAGTTTAGCACAGATGATTCACTTTGAGTTTGTTTATTATACTGTGCTTCATCCAGTTAATTATTGTTCTCTTTTCCTGCAACAACAGTTTGGGCACAAGTTACTATATAAATATATATAAATACTTTTATCTCTTTTTGTTCTGTTGTCTTGTATATTGTGAATAACTGAAAGCCAGTGGAACACATTTTCTCTTTTGGTTTAAAACACATTGTCTTTATTTTGTATGCATGATTGTAATTGCTCTGAATAAGCCTCACTCATTTTGACGGAGTCAGTATCAACAACCAGTTGCTAATGATATTATTTTTCTAAAATAAATGTAATTTAGTCTTTGAAATTTGTGTTATTTAAACACCTTACACTGAGAACTTTTACTTTAAGAATAGATCAGGAGAGAACACTGGCATACTATTAAAATTGATTTCATATTTACTGTATTTTTAATTGCTGGCTCACAGACCGCTTCCGTGCTCTTATCAAATGTTTTTTATGGCTGTTGCTGAGTGCGTGCGGTACAAGCCACAGAGAAGCAGCAGTCATGGCACAACTGTGACACTGACACCTTCAAAAACTGACTGCATTGTACATTACATTGTTTTTCATTCTTTAAACACTGCATTCTTTTCATTATGTGTTGGAATTAGTGGTCACATATCTGTGTTTAGAACATGTTAAACATGTTAAAAATAAATGGATAATTTAGATAAACCTGCACTTGTTATGCCCTGTTGTGTTGGAGTAATGAAATGATTGTTACTGTCAGGGTGGGGGAACATAATGCTCTGCAGGGTTTCTGTCCGTTTGATTTTAACACTTCAAAGCAAGCGTGGCATCATGAAAATTTTAATCCCTTTCTTTACATTACATTTGTGTGATTAGTAATCCTCCTCAGAATGCTTGCTGTCATTACTGATGATGTAGTGACTGCTGATATAGATACATTTGTTGTACTTTTGTGGGTGTTTGGGTGTAAAAAAAAAAAACCCACAGACCAATAGTTAGTTCCACTTGCAATAATAATGCACAGCACAGTTTTAAGAAGAACTCTAACAGGCAGTTTTGCTTAATCCCTAATTACTAGTTTGGTCAACCATGAACATGGTACTCTATTGCATATTTGCTCTGGCAAAACATAAAAAAAAGTGTTGAAAAGCATGAAAGTGTTTGAACTTTTGAAATTACAACCCACAAAGGTATAGAAGAGCAATGTTTCCATCAAATAACGGGCTCTTTTAACTTCCCCATTTCTTACTTTTATCAGCTAAGCATGCAGGCTTTAACACTTTAAAAAGGGAAATTGCTTCATTGCTGCCTACAGCATGAAAACATGCAGAGCTTTCTGCTTGTTTTTGTGCAGCAACAAATGACCTTGATCAAGGCCACGAGCCAAAACGCATTGGTTACTTGATAAAGTTGTTTCCTGTTACTTTAGGTGTGGCTGGAGTCTTCACATCATCGGATTGTTTGTGTGCAGCACATGATATAATGGCAACATGTATGCACTGCAAACAAAAAACATGTGCCCTATTTAATACTCAGAAGTGAGACTATGTGGTCAGCAGTGTAAACTGAAACATTCATTTAACAGATGGGCAGGATGTGCCCTGGCCTCATTCTAGGAAACAATGTATAGGTACTTCAGTAAAAAAAAAACCTTCACTTTAATGTTGAGCTGATCTTATTTGCTGGCAGGTTTTAGACTATTAAATGCAAATTTTGCAGGTAAATATTTAATTGTTTTGCCTCTGGTGAAAATAAATACTGAACAACATATTCTCTAAATATGCCGAAAACAAATAAAATGTTTTGCAGATGACTCTTAACCACAAAAAATTATTTTAATTCATAAAGCCAACTCATATGTGAAGAAACTGTCCTGTTATGACTCCCTTATCACTTGAGCTGCACTTTATCTCAGTTTAACACTAAACCATATGTCGATCAATAGCGTATCGGCTGTATCCTAGATGTAGTTGAGCATAATGAAGTGTGCAGTTGTGGAAAAATGCAGCTGTGATCAAAATATGTTAATATGAACTGATAGTTTGTGATGCACTACAATTGCTCATGCTCATGAATGTTCAGTAGAAAGCGCACACTAGTGATGGTAAATTTGATTCTGTGTTTTTCATTGATTATTTCACCATAGTTTTTCACGGTGTTTGCTGGTGAAAAGAAGATTAAAATACTGGCTAAACATCAGTTGGAGCATGGCCCTTTATTCTACTTCGAACATGAAATACCTTCAGGAGCAGTTACATTTATGGTAAATGGCCTGTATTTATATAGCGCTTTACTAGTCCCTAAGGTGCTTTACATATCCAGTCATCCACCCATTCACACACTGGTGATGGCAAGCTACATTGTAGCCACAGCCACCCTGGGGCGCACTGACAGAGGCGAGGCTGCCGGACACTGGCGCCACCGGGCCCTCTGACCACCACCAGTAGGCAACGGGTGAAGTGTCTTGCCCAAGGACACAACGACCGAGACAGTCCGAGCCGGGGCTCGAACCGGCAACCTTCCGATTACAAGGCGAACTCCCAACTCTTGAGCCACGATCGCCCCACTATATAAAGACAGAGGCGTCATGGTGTAATTATATTATCTGTAAAGAGGCAACATCTCCAAAATTTCGGGAGTAGTTAGTCATTATAAGAAGTGTTTGTGAACTAAAAATCAAGAATGTGGGATACTGTTGGTACGTGATTTGGAGAGCCCAGCACGTGCTCCCGACGCAGGGTAAACAAATTCTGCTGGGGAGACCTACCTTGGTACTTGTGTAGGTGAAGCCAAAGGCAAGATATACCTCATCGTATTTTCTAGTCTTTCGCTTGGAAGAAAGTTAGTTTGGAAACTGGCGATGCTTCATCTTCTGCTTTGTGTAGCAGCTCCGTCAAAAACCTGTCCATTATGCTAGCAGCATCCAAGTTTTCTTTTTTCGTTTTTTATTCATACCCTGAGTCCTGCATCTGGGTAAACATTGGAAAATACCAATAAGCCAAATGATCAGATTTAGAAAAGAAAAGGCATAAATATGTCAAATCTTAATACACCAAACACAAAAAGTCCATTTAAAATACAAAAACATGCTCCATATTCTAAAATAATGTAAACAAATGGACATAACAGGCTTAAACAAAATCATGGACATACATACTGCTTAACAAATACCAAATAGACATACAAATTATAACTAACTTTGTTCCGTCATTCCACTCGTCCATCCATCCACTCACCCATCCATCAATCCATCCAGCCCGCAACGTGGACCAAACCCCTGCAGTGGTTGTACAGGAACCAAATGGCTTGCGGCAACAGGCCATTTGGTTGCTCTGGAAGCACCACCAGTGTTGCATTATGAGGGGTCTGGTTAAAAACCCTTGTCCGATTCCACAAAACACATGTAGACTGGTTGGAGAAAATTCCGGACACCCTTGAATATCCTTAAGAGCATAAAGACCTGGTTCAGTGTTCCACAACAAGGACGAAACCTGTAGTTCCTCTGTATCTGAGATTACACTAACACTATACTACTACTACTACTAGTATAGGGTTCCCACTCTGGCCTCTCATGTACAGACTGCACCCAAAACTTAGGGCATTTCCTGTGGGCTGAGCACTCACAAGCATGTAAACACCTCACGGTATCCCATGTAAATTTTGGATTGAATTATTAAAATCGTTATAAATATTCCAGTTTTGTTGAAAAGTAGTTGAGTAATTGTTTGCTTAAACTATAACCATTTTCAACAACAGGGGAATTGTTCGTCTGAAGGTCAAGAACTCATTGAACTCAATCTATTTAATTCAATAATGTGTCTCTTCTGCAGAAATGGGGTCATGTCCAGCCTTGGCATTTTTTGTACTGTTTTCAGCAGCTCTGACTTCCTTGTGTGATGTGGAAAAGTGCTAATATTTCCAGTAGATGGAAGCCACTGGCTTCACATGAAAGTCCTTGTGGAGGCTCTTCATTCTCGTGGTCAGCAAATCACTTTAATTCGTTCCTCCACCAGCTGGTACATTTCTGAGGTCTCGTCTTATTACACCTCCATCACAATTACCCAGGAACAGTCCCAAAACATAGAAAGACAAGACTTCATGACCTCATTCCTGAAGACGTCACTTGAGATCCGGAGCAAAAGTTCACTATGGACATTCGTTGAGTTTTACAGCCTTTTTAAAATGGTACATGAAAACCATCAAACTGTGACAAAGCTTGTTCGCAGGATTTTTGAGAATAAGACATTGATTAAAGAGCTGAATGAAACTGGATATTTGGTATTTGGTTTGCTGATCATTACCTTCGTTTGGGCTTCTTGTTCATGTCTAATTACGTTTTTGTTGAAGACAAAGAAGTCCAAGCATGAATAGATGTGATAATAAACTTTATCGTGTGAAAACAATTAAAAGCTACAAAGAAACTAAGAAGCGGTTTTTCGTGTTAATTTTATTTTCTTGTTTTCTTTTTGTTTTTATTTCTATTTAAAGTTTCATATCATCACCTTTATTTTCAGAGTGGCCAATATTTTTCTACCTTACTTTCAAAGAACAGAACCAGCAGGTGGACTGGGGTTCGGCTGTTTTTTGCTAAAAATTCAAAAGTCAAATCCCAGATAACAATAAACGTTTGATCCTGCTGAGACCCACATCTACAGTTTTCTATGGCCATAATTGTCCTCGACTGACATCATTGACTCTGGGAAATCTGGTAAATGTTGCTATTCCCCTATTGCTTAAAAAATTTAAGGTCAGATGTTAGATGCCAGGTATCATCAGGCCCATACAATACTACCAGCAACTCAGGTCAAGTTGAGCTTTCAGGCAGTGTTTGGATGAAAAAAATATAACTTAATAGGTTATTCCAATAACCACCTCAGTTATGTCAAAAGTAGCCCACATTAAGCCCATATGTTTGCCATTTCAGAGCTCTGGGAAGATGGCAACACTGAAAAGAAGTGCAGCAGAACAATAAAAATCCTTCACATGTAAAAAAAACCAAAAAAAAACCCGAGTTAAGCAAACAAATTTAAAAGATAATACAAAACTCAGCACATGTATTACCAACAGTTTGTTTCTTAAAAACCTTCATAGCTTATAGCCTCACCTCCTGGTTAAAGTGTCATCCATTTGTTGTGCGTACATATTGAGCAGAAGAATCTAACTCTTTGGACATGGTCATAAGGTCATGAGGCCAGTGTAGCTGAAAAAGGGAAAACAACCATTGTGAGCACGTGTGCATTTTTGACAACTAGCTGCTGTCTCTGGGGACAGATACGTCGTCATGTGCTCTTCTGCATCTCTCATTTTCTCAAAAGGCCTGACTGGAGCTGCCACACTCTCTGAATAGAGCAAAGTGTCCATCTGTTTTTGAGACACACTTGGCTTCTTAGTGTAAAAACAACGGAGTCACAGATAAATATTGCAAAAGTGGCAGAGTCTGATAACTTTAGATAAGAAAAAATGTACAGAAATCAGTGGCGTCAGTGGATCATTTCGTAGGTTTTGTCACGTGTTTTCACTTCCACTTCCTGGGGGTTTTTTTTTTTATTTAATTTGATTTGTCGTTGCTGTAAGTAACTCATTTAATACAATCTCACCTGTTATGATTTGAAGTTCATTCTATACTATCTCACCTGACAAGCTAGGTAAAATAAGAGGAGAACAGAAGCAACAACAGAGGGATACTTGATTGCTCTCCTGAACACCTCGTGTTAG